TCTGATTTCTGTCACCATGGGGACAGGAGAGCTGTCAGTCAATACATTGAAAAAAAAAAGTAACTTGCGTTACTTATTTGAAAAAGTAACTCAGATATTCTCTTGTAAATTAAAAAGTAATGCGTTACTTTACTAGTTACTTGAAAAAAGTAATCTGATTACATAACTCGTGTTACTTGTAATGCGTTCCCCACAACACTGATTGTAACACACCTGGTTTGAATATTTCCACACATGCTAGCATAACAAAATTTACAGTATTTAATTTTACAGTACCATAAAATTTACAGTACCATGTCAACATTATAAAGAGAAAAAAGTGCGCCAAAATTCAAAAATCTTTTGAAGATGTCACTGAACATTTATTTTACCATAGTAAAATTACAATTCTGGCTTAAGTAAATTTTTCATCATTAATTTTAAATGAGACAAATCAGCTAATATTTTAATCTCCAACCTGTTATTTATCAGATTAGATAAACTAGCAGAAGACTAGCTAACCGATTTTAAACTCCAGTTGCGCGGATGGGACACGATGTAACACTGCGTTACAATGTGCTATTCTATGACATTAGATGTGATTTACACTATTTACTTTAATGAATTTTAATGAGAAACAACGAGAAACAGGTGAATAAAGACTGACAGTCAATGTTTAATGTTTAGAAATGATTATTTCAAGACATGTAAAGCATTTTTGCTCGTTTATGTGGGCCGTCCCAAGCATGGTTGCAATGTGTTCATTGTCAAACTCCAAAATCAGATTATTTTTCATTCTTAAAAAACGCCATTATTTTATTTGAATTTTTTTTTAACTTTATTTTATTAACAAAATATTTTAGTTTGTCTCTTATATATTTTTTAATGAGATCAGATAACATTTTAAGCGGTCAGTATGGTCATGTTACAATGTACCCCTCAGATGTTACAATGTTCCCCACCTACGGGGCATGTTGTCACATGTCACTTCCATTTTTTGAGGGTAAATAAAGAAAAACGTATACACTGTCATTATGAAACAAAGCGCTATATTTGTACTAGACAAGTGTAAAATTACTGTGGATAAAAAAAAAAAAAAAGTATATTCTGAACCCCATGTGGATTTACGCAAACTGAGGAAGTCAAAAAGTGTTACATTGTGCCCCTACATTCAAAATCATAAACATCTGAAAGACATCTTCTAAACGTCTATTTGACATCTCTGACGTCCTGTAGACGTAGGCTATTGCAGATGAGCAAACACTCTGTAATGTAAGTCTTGCAGATGTAAATGCCACGTTGTTATCAGGGGTCACCATGGCAACATTTCCAAAATCCTTCCACTTTTCTGCAAGTGAACAGTGACGTTTATCGTCCACAAGGGGGCATGTTTTATTCTGGCGTTCTTCAAGAGCTTGATGAGAAACTAGAGGAGCAGAACTTGTGGAGATGGTCAGACTGGAGCTCCCGCTCATCCGCAGCACATCGCTCCATCATCCGGATCCGTTCAGCAGAGCCTCGCGATGATGCGGAGTGTTTTATTCGCTCTGATTGTGTTTGCCGGCTCAGTTCAGGCGAATAAACGCGCGGCGGAGATGAAGATGAGCTTGGAGTCTTCATTATCACCATCATCATCCTCGTCGCTGGAGCTGAACCCCTCCGCAGCGCATCGCGGTGATGAGGAGGATGCTGATGCTGAAGATGCGCGCGTGCCGAGAGTTCCGCGCGGGTCCAAACACAAGCAGCGCGAGCGGGACGCGCACCGGCACCCGCGACCGCACCCCGACGCGTTCTTCACCACGCCACGAGCGTTCAACGGCTCGCTTCGCGTGCATAACCCGCTGCACCCGCTCACGGAGGAGTCCTACAGCGCCTACGCCGTCATGCTGCTCGCGCTCATCGTGTTCTCCGCGGGCATCGTGGGTAACCTGGCGCTCGTGTGCATCGTGTCGCACAACTATTACCTGAAGAGCACGTGGAACTGCGCGCTGGCCAGCCTGGCGTTCTGGGACTTCATGCTGCTGTTCTTCTGCCTGCCAGTGGTCATCTTCAACGAGCTGACCAAGAGACGTCTGATGGGAGATCTGTCCTGCAGGATAGTGCCATACGTGGAGGTGTGTGACCAATCTAATCAGCAATCAGTCAATTAATTAGGCAACCAATCAGGCAGTCTGCTCATATACACACATCTACCCTGACAGCACACATACATCACAGAGACGTCTATTTAACGTCGCATTTACATCTGCAAGACATAGTTTTTAGAGTGTTTGCTCGTCATCTGCAATACGTCTACAGGACGTTTCCTATCAGATGTCAAATAGACGTTTAGAAGATGTAAAACTGACGTCTATCAGATGTTTGTACACAGCAGATGCTTTCCAGATCTTTACCAGACGTATCGCAGACGTACATGTGCTATCTACCAGGCTTACAAAAATATGTTCTAAGAACGTTTTGCTAATGTTCCCGTTACATTATTTATAAAGAAGAAGAAAAAATGACTTAAGAATCCCAGATAGCACATGTACATCTGCAAGATGTCTGTTAAAGATCGCTTTAACAGACATCTTGCATGTTGCTAACACTACAGTCCCTTTTCTTTATAATTTAATAAACTCATTTTTTGATTGGCAGACTTTAGTTTGTGTCCTTTATGTTGCTTCCCTAGAGCCAGGGTTAGAGAACGTTACTAAATAACGTTAGCTGGGTATCTACAAAACAAAAAATCCATCTGTTACAAAAACCAGATTACCACGGTACGACGTCCAAAAAACATACTAATACCACAGTACTTGTTTGTAAGTGAACAGACACATTAATGTTCTTTTATTCACCCTTAAAACATAAAGCTGTAACTAACCACCGTTTCTTGAGTTAATTTTCCAGCCTCCTCTTTACAGCACCAGCTCTACTGATTGTCATGTAAATGAGATCTCCGGGTAATTAGCGGCACTAATTGGGCTCATTAGCCTGTTGAATGAGTGTTTAGAGTGTGCTTCAAGGGCAGGATTGTCTGTGGAGGGTGTTTGCATGTCTGCTGACCCACTTATGTGTACTAAAACATTTTATTATATGGCAGTAAATTAACAGATTAGATGAGATGCAAATTAAATCAACCTGAATAATATTCACAGTCACTTGGGAACATCAACCCTTATTTATATCACACTTACTGACTATTGATGGCATAAGATGGTAAAATTGTGGTATTTTTATATATATATACCATAGTATTGAATAATTGCATATTCATATACCATGGTTCTTAGATGGTTTTCCAATGCATTTCAAAGAATACCATGGCACTTCCATAGTATATGTGTGATTTTACCATGATATGTGTCCAAAAAACAGAGTACCACCATTGTATATGCTCAAAAAACATAATCATGGTATCCAAAATCATGGTATTACTATGGTAGATGTCCAGAAGACATGGTTTTACCATGGTACATGTCCAAAAACATGGTATCACCAGAGTAGATGTCCCAAAAAAATGTGGTATGACCATTGTACATGTCCAAAAAACATGGTATGACCATAGTACTGTAGATGTAGATTTCCAAAAAATGTGGTATAATCACGGTAAATGTCCCCAAAAATGTGGTTTTACCATTATACATGTTCAAAAACATGGCATCGCCATAGTAGACATACAAAAAGGAGTGGTGTATCACCATGGTAAATGTCTCAAAAAAAAGGTTTTACCATTGTACATGTCAATAAAACATGGTATCATCATGGTAAATGTCCAGAAAATATATAGTTTTACTATGGTACATGTCCAAAAAAAAAAAAAAATTACCATGCTATGGGTCCAAAAATGTAGTATTACCATAGTTAAATGCAGGTCATGTGATTTCATGTCAGTCTGTATGTTGCTGACGTGTGTTTGTTTACGTGTCTTTCAGGTGACGTCTCTCGGCGTGACCACGTTTACTCTGTGTGCGCTAAGCATCGACCGCTTCCACGCGGTGACCAGCGTTCAGCCGCGGCTGCAGCAGGTGGAGTCCTGTCAGTCCATCCTGGCCAAGCTGTCGGTGATCTGGGTGGGATCTCTGGTTCTGGCCACTCCGGAGCTGCTGATGTGGCGTCTGGAGCAGGAGGTGTCACCGCGGACAGGTCTGCCGGTGGACTCGTGCGGTCAGCAGCCATCCGTGACGCTGCCGGAGACGCTGTACTCGCTGGTGCTGACGTACCATCAGGCCAGAATGTGGTGGACCTTCGGATGTTTCTTCTGCCTGCCGCTGTTGTTCACCGGCGCGTGTCAGCTGCTCACGCGACACGTCACGGACGAGAACGCCAAGAGCAAAGCCGTGCGTCCATCCTCCATGTCATCTTCGTCGTCCTCCGCGTCCTCGTCTCTGAAGAAGCAGCGGCGAGAGCGTCAGCTGACCCGTACGGTTGTGGCCTTGGCGTCCATTTACGCCGTTTGCAGTTTGCCGGAAAACGTGTGGAACTTCGTTCTGGCTTACGCGGGTGTGGAGGTGGGCGTGGCCACAAAGGCGCTGCTTGCTCTGATTGGCCAGTTCCTGTTGTTCGTGCGGGCGGCAGCGACGCCCGTCCTGTTGCTCTGCATCTGTCGCTCTCTCGGCCAGGCATTCATGGACTGCTGCTGCTGCTGTTGCGACGAGTGTCTGCCGGATCCTTCGTCGTCGTCCATGTCTTCGTCCACCAACGCCACGGCCATCTCCTCGTCCCTGTCCTCGCCCGTCTCCGTCCAGGAGGAGAAAGTGAAGATCGTGTCGGGAACGTCGCCCGCGGTGTTCTTCGATAACGTGAAGGATGGTCCGGCTGAGCTGATCATCGGAACGCCGTGTTGATCTCGGAACGTTGGAATCAGTGTCCGTTTATAAAAACTGTGAATGAAATATCGCCCATCGCTAAAACTCTTAAAGGGACAGTTCACACAAAAATGATCATTCTGTTGCCATTTAAATGTTCCAAACCTATACGACTTTATTTTGTGTGCAGAACACAAAAAATGTGTTAATAAATTATCACAATATTTTATTAAATTAAAAATATTATAAAATAGAAGTGTTATAAGCTATAGAATTATCATGCCGTCACTCACCGCTGGATGAGGAGAGTTAAACGCAGAAACGCAATTTTCTGTTTCTTTATCTACGTTCAATCAGTTTTGTTTTGTCTCACATTTAGCGATTTAAAATCCTCGTTTAGTTGCTGTATTTCAGTACGTCTATTTTCTTTATAGATCCATCACTTCTACCCTACAGAAATACAAAGAAATTGTGAACTTTATTGTATTTCATTGGAATTAATAACTAATATTTTGTTTATCCATAAACTTTGTACTGCTGGATGGACAGTTGCGGCAAACTTGAAAACATTGTGTTTTTATGCACTTAATTAATTTTCATCTTTAAATTGTCAGTGTTTAAAAATGAAAGTATGTTTTGGAAAAACAGAAATCGTCTTTTCAGATCAACCTTGATATGTTTTGAAGAAGAAATGTTGTGTTTTATTGAGTCTGTCTCACATATCAAAGACTGTCTGATTCTCTGCTGGAATTAAACGACGTTACAAACTCTCAGCAGAGACAAACGACTCTATGAACTATGGGAAAATACTGAAAAAACGTTGCAACTTTAACACGTTAGATAGTAATGATTATAATAGCAAAGTGAACCTGATATAGCTGAACATATTGTTAGCATCGAATCTTTTGTATTTCTTTTTTGTACTTGGTTGCAGCCAATAAAAGAGTTTGAATATGTTACGTAAACTTTGCAAACTTATTGCTTCTCTGTTTTACTCACACAAACGCTTAAAGGATTTGTACTTATGTGACCGGTCTGTGTGAAAGAATCGCACACACAGTTGAACTGCTGTCTCTTGGCTGTTCTGAAGTGATTTTCCTCCTACAGTAGATTCTCAGGAGGAGCCGTGGGGGCCCATAAGGGCCGTATTGTTCCCGAGCCGCGGCCCCCGCGCTGAATATCAATAGCGGCCCCCGAGCGGTTGCTATGCGACTTTCACACGCCAGCTTTCGGCATTCAGACTCCAAACAGCGGCGGATCAGAAACAGACGCGACATTCTCTCGGATCGCCGGTTGTCGTGGAGACGGGACCCTCGCGTTGATGTGGGTAACACGGAGGGGCTCCGCGGGAAGAATGGGGTAACAAGTAATCTGGGGTGGATTAAACGCTCTGTGCTGTCATGAACCATACAGAATGAGGTCAAGAGTGTTTTACACTTTAAAAAAAAAAAAAGTTTCAAGCTGATTCTTGGGGCACAATCTTTTGAAGTTTGCCATGTGGTAACAAACCTCAGAACACAAGGGGTGATGGAATTTCCTTAAAACGTTGTGCTATTAAACCAGATGATATTCAGGTAGCTACATATAAACATGAGTTTATGTAAATGTACAAAACTTGATCAGAAAGATTATCTGAGCTGAAAAGAAAGAACAATTTCCACAACAGCGCCCCTTGTGGTGAAATTGTGCACAATGTCAGAGACAAACATTTTTTAAATGTTTTAAATTATTAAATGTTAAAATAATATTACATGTAAAATTATATATATTTTATTCATAAACAATTTTGGAATATATTTGTAAAATATAAATCTAAAAGTATTTCGTCTGTGTATCTGCTGCTGAAAACTATTATTAACGAAAACGCTTGATTGGCGCACTGTTTTCCTTGTCTAGAGTAAAAAAATACAAATATTGGTGAACAAATACAAGTGAAAATACACGCTCTGATAAACCTGTAATCAAACTTAGAAGTCTACATCAGCTAATTATAAAAGTTATGACTACAAACTTAAACACAACACATATTTTTTAAACATTCATTGACTGATTTTCCAAATGACGTCAACAAAAGGGGGGGTTGTCACATTTAACTCACTTCTGTGGACGGTTTTGTCTCTAAACCATAAACTCACACAATGATGGATTGGTCTATCTGCCGTTCAATAATATTAACGAAAGCGCTCGAGCATTGTACTGTTGCTATGGTGATCCCCTCAGGCGAACGTGACTTTAGCGCCAGATGAACTTTTTAGCGCCAAATGAAAATACACGCTGAGAAACGTGTAATCTACATAACTAATTATGTAAATTACAAATACAAACTAACTTAAACACTACCCATTATGGAAGCCCATTTCCGCCACTGAATAAAAAAAATAAAAAAAAAGGTTATTGCGACTTTTTATCTCACAATTCTGACTTTTTTTCCCTCAGAATTTTGAGATATAAACTCGCAATTGCGAGTTATGAAGTCCAATTGTGAGGGGGAAAAAAGACCATGTTCTCAGAATTGCGAGTTTACAGCTCACAATTCTGACTTAACTTGCAATTGCGTGTTATAAAGTCAGAATTGCGAGATATAAACTTGCAATTGCGTGTTATAAAGTCAGAATTGCAAGATATAAATTCGCAATTCTGAGAAAAGTCACAATTTCGAGATAAAAGCTCACAATTCTGATTTTTTTTCTCGCTATTATGAGTTTATATCTCGCAATTCTGACTTTTTTCTCGCTATTATGAGTTTATATCTCGCAATTCTGACTTTTTTCTCGCTATTATGAGTTTATATCTCGCAATTCTGACTTAACTTCAATTGCGTGTTATAAAGTCACAATTTCGAGATATAAATTCGCAATTCTGAGAAAAAAGTCAGTTTCGAGATAAAAGCTCGTAATTCTGTTTTTTTTTTTTCGCTATTATGAGTTTATATCTCACAATTCTGACTTTTTTTCTCTCAAAATTGTAAGATACAAACTCACAATTGCGCGTTATAAAGTCCAATTTTGAGGGGGGAAAAAAGACTATGTTCTCAGAACTGTGAGTTTACATCTCGCAGTTCTGACTTTATTCATAAGAATTGCGACTTTGTCTCCCTGTTGCGAGTTTATATCATGCAATTCTGCGAAAATAAGTCAAAATTGCGAGTTTGTATCGCGCAATACTGAGAAAAAAAGTCAGCATTGTGAGATAAAAAGTCGCAATTACCTTTTTTATTTTTTTATTCAGTGGCGGAAACGGACCTCCATAACCCATGTCTTTAAATAATAATAAAAAAAAACATTATTTATTAATCTTTTTTTGAAATGAAGCCGTCCCCAGATGTTAAAACACTCAGTACTGTGTGTGTTTGACACATTCATATTAAAGTACTGCAGTATTCCAATAACGTATTTAACGACATGTTTAAGGGAAACCACCACAGTACTGTAGTGTAAGTAAATAAGTTGTGTGAAAGTCTCCTCAGAGTCAGTGTGTGTTCGTTATATATTCATTTAAGAGTTGTGTGTGTGTTTTGTGTGGGTTGACGGCTCTCTGACACCGTTTGTTTTGCTCCGCGTGAGATCGCCGTGGAAACCCTCTCAAGGCCGCTCCAGATCACCGCGGGGCTCGACGTACGTCCGCGGGCTCCGCTGGCATGAGCCGGATCAGACCCACTGGACATCCGGCTCGTCAGCGCGCGCTGTCACCGTCTCCGTGACAACACTGACCTCTGGCCTTCTCACATCCTACCGGCTGAATAACAGTCAGAGTCAGAGGCCAAAACCGGGCCAAAACCAGCAGCAGCGAGGGGTCTGACGGGATGAATGTGCGCAGACAGACCTCACATGAACCCCGTTAACTCGCTAAAACCAACAGAGCGCGGGAACGTCTGTGTACGTTTGAATAAAAAGAGCGCGAAAGCCGCTGATGTGACGTTAGTGTAGTGCGCGGTTTCTATGCGGTTGCTGGAGGTTCTGATCTCCGAGATCAGTATGAAATCAATTAATATAATCATTTATTTTGGGACAGATAATAATTTAACATGTATTACGGTTTAATAAGTATTTGTTATTTTTCACGTCAAATCAGTAACCGTTTAGTTAATCTTAAGAGAAAAATCTCTGCTGAAGAGATTTCATCTTATTAATAATTATCAGAGAAATATTTGTATGTCTCTACTGTCCTCTGCTGGAGAAGCTGAAGCTCACTGTTTAGTGCACAGTATATTACTTGTACTGCATACTATGTTTTTAAGGTAGGTTGAGAACATTGCATTGTGGGATACCGCATACTTGTATATCATTAAGCGTTCCCGCAAGTACTAAAGTTAAACATGGTGCACAGCACATACTACAAAAATATAGTATGGTAGTACGCTATTCTGAATGCTACTTTTCACATCACATTTACGTCAAAAGCACCAAATTAAACTCTTTGTATGTTTTACTTTCCTAATGAAGTTCCTTAAAAAACCAACATTTTCTCCTTTCTTTTAAAATGAATCTCATGAAGTACATATTTGTCCAGTATCACCGAATTAGACCTTAAATCAAAACCACATCTTCATTAAAGAAAGAAGAAACCGTGGTTCTGAGAGGGAAATCATTTAATTTCATTTTTAAATAATCTGTAAATGACAACAACAACATGTAGTTATCACCGCGAGCACGAGAGAATAGAAAGATCCCAAATGAACAACTCAACTGATCGAGTCTCGTACAGAAACACCTGTTATGTGACTGCTTTAAAAAGTTACTGTCTGATCCATATAAAGAGGGGGGGGGGTGGAACATAATCGAGCTCGGTCCAATCACACGTTGATTATACAGTAACTACGGCAACCAGCTCCATCCCATAATGAGTCATGCAGGGGTGAAATCGCATGATTCCCCAGCAAATAAAAGAGCGGCACTGCTACAAACAACTCAAATATAAAAAAGAAACATTATGGCCACATGTAATTAGACATAAAAAAATAATTGAATCAACACACAAACAGAAGATGACACACTGCACACTTCATTAACGAAGTTGAGGATGACTTCATAAGTGACTTTTACAAAGTCGACTTTGACAAAGTAATTTACGAACCTAACAAAGTCACGTAACAGTTTGAATCCTCTTAGCTATCCAAGTGAATTATGAAAACGACTTCATTAGTATAACTTCGTAAAAGATGTCAATAAAATCAACGAAGTTGACTTGGTTAGCTTGACTTTTGCAAATCAACTTCAACGAAGTCATTTACGAACTTGATGTTACGCAACTTGTGCGCAACTAGGTTGACTTCGAAAAAGACTTGGGTATAATCAACAAAGTCGACTTCATTAGGTTGACTTCGTAAATGACTGTTATGAAGTTGATTTTGACAATGCCATTTACGAACCTAAAGTATGAATGTAACTTCATAGTTTGACATCGCAAATTACTGTCAAAATCAACTTTGTTACGTCGGCTTCATTATACTAATACTGTCGCAAGTGGTACAGAACTAAAAGTTGGCTTCGTAACGACTGCTATTGTCAACAAAGCTGATTGCAGCACTTTTTGATAACAGTCGAATTGTAGTAAAAATACCTTTTGTAACTATGGTGATTATTGTAACCAATGTCGTAACACGGACTTCGTAACATCAAAGTCGACTTTGTAACATGACTTCGTAACCAGTGCAGCAGTGTTGATTACCGCCATTTTGTCGCATTGCGTTGTTCACTCTTGTGTAGACGATGAACTAATGACAATCAAACATTAGTGAAGATGAATATAAAGTGATTAGCAATTGTGAAAAATCTACAGAACAAACCTTCGGCATTTATAAAGTAAATATTACTCTAGTCTACATGACGGCATCCGTGCACAAACACCATCGCTCACACACTCTCTCTCTCTCACACACACACACACACACACACACACACACACACACACACACACACAATCTGTTTGTTCAGATTGCTGTGATATGAGTGGGGTCTTCTTTGTTATTATTATCGTTATTATTATCATAGGATGCTAATCACAATAAGACAAACACCGTAATGCTCAGGACGGAGATCTCATTTGGTTTAAGTTGCTATTTACATAATCCAGTCGAAAAAAACACTGTGAAAAAACATGAGTAAAAACATGCCAAAAACAACCAAAATATGTCAATTTACATATGTATAATCTACTGACGCGTTTATAAGCCGTTATGATTTAAGCCAAAAACGTCCACACGTGCGACAAAAACGAAACAGGCTGTAAATGAAATAATCAAAGCGAGAAAAATCACAAGATCTTCGTCTCTCCCCAATAGGAACAGCGTTCGGAAACAACACTGGACTTCAGCAGGAGATTCGCGCAACATTTGCCGCATCTCCGCTGTTTTTATTAGCGCAACGATCTGCGGGTCCGACAGAGATCAAATAAAACACTGATGTTGCTCTGCACGTGCTCGCAGACTGACGTTCCTAAAAAAAAAAAAAACAACGTGGTTGCCATGACAACCCACCCACGTCAACGATACAACGCTGTAGTTACAGCGACTCGAAAGAAACGTATAAAACCTTAATTTGGACACGTTAAACTCTTCAGAATGATTCATGTGCTTTCAGATGAAAAGATTTCGTAATGCTACAATATTAACGCAAACCATGTGACCTTGATGCCTTCGGGATGATGTCATGTTTGTAGAAACAACGCCAGCACCGAGTCACGCTAACAAGCTAATGATAGTATGATTTAACATCTTGCTAAACGCAAAGCAACAGTGTAAATCAACGGAATCTCCCAGGGAACGATCAAAGAGCATGTGGAATGTTCGCACAATCTTGGAAAAACGTTAAAACAAGATGGCGGCGCGAACGCCCCGAAGCATGTGACCAGAGAGCGCTAGTTCTGACAGATGCTGTGGGTGTCGAGTCTAGGTTTGATCCCATCTCCTAGCAAACACGCAGAACGATGCGCGCGAGCGAAACGTGTCATGTGACTTCATGACAAACCGTAATAAAGCACATTCACGTAAGAGTAAAAATCAACGTTCAAACGATGTAAATGATGTGGATTAGTTTATAAGCACAGAGAGGGGCGGATGCCTGTTTGTTTAGAACGAAATCAAGAGCGCCTAAAATACAGTTGATCACATGATGCGGTTCCTCCAATCAGACGCTGGCTCCGCCTCCTCAGCTCCGCCTGGTCCGCGAGTGCTGGATCAGCCACTGTAGTGTGATGTCTGGAACACATGACCATGAGCTCATTAACATATCTCCCGCCCACATTTGCATTTATTCAGTATCCAGCAACCTGACCTGCCCACAACACACAGAAGTCAGCCAATCACAGAGCTCACAGACATTTTAAGAGACGTCTTAAAGGTACAGTAGTTAAAAAGGGATCTTACGCTTTAATTTCTGCGAGCTCTCAATTAACTTTACTGTCATTTGTGATTAATGGATGTGTGATTTGTAATTAATAGAACGGAAACTCATTTTAATACAATCTAGTGAATCATTCTCGCATATCTGTGAACCATTCATTCTCGAAAGAATGATTCACTTACAAAACAGACATCGCTGTGACTTCTGTGAAGATTTTATTAAATGCTAGGGCGATAATTAAATATTTACAGTGTTATTTTAGTATCATTGAGAAAGAAAAAATCTGTATGAAATCTTTTGATGACTTCAGGCCTAGAAATCACTATTTTAAAACTCCCTGATATTTAGAGGGTTTTTAGGACAGTGAGACGCTGCTAAGAGCCAGAAAGTGAAAAACGCTGAAGAAAGAGCGTAATATAGAGCATATAAACATACACACTGCACAGAAGTGTTAATAAACAAGCGGTTTAATCCGATTGAAACTGTATTTTTAACATAGTATCATTAAAGTCTTACCGATGTTGTCCTTCTCCTTACAGGAGATGGAGTAACAGCAGATCTCTCGGTCCTGGATGGCCGACAGGTTCCTGTAGATCACATTTAACAAGCGTTTTCAGTCATCGGATCAGAACCAGACTGCATTAAAACTTCAAAGATTCAGATGCTTTGGATTTAGTTATGAACTGTTACAGATGAACTCACATTCTCTCGATGAGCTCCTTCTCATCCAGAGCTCCGGGAAGATCTCGCTTATTGCCCAAAACCAGAACCTGAGGAAAGACGGACACTTTTATGATCCAATATCCACATAGAGACAAAAAAATAATCTATAAAATATGCTCTAAACACATGAACGGAGCAGAAATGATCACGGCAGACTCACTGGGATTCCCTGCAGCTGCGGTTTGTCTAATAAGTTGTGCAGTTCGTTCTTCGACGCCTCGATCTTCTCTGGATCCGCCGCATCAACCATGTACCTGAATGACACACGCGATCTGTTAGGAACGCAGGACATCATAACGGCATTTACGTAACGTACCTGAGATTACGAGTATACTCACACGATAGTGCTGACGCCACGACAGTATCGCTCCCACATGCTCCTGAAGCGCGGCTGACCGCCGATGTCCCACAGCTACAACACACACACACACACACACACTATCACTCATTTACTAGAATACAGTGTAAGACACGCGGAAATCATTAGAAATAAAAGCCATAAAATATTTGAAACTATATATTATAGTCTTTTTATTACACAATTATATTAAGTAAATAATGCATTATTTTATTTTACTATATTTTACAATATCTAGTTACAAATTAAAACAATGCTGAGATTTTCTAGCATTAACTACTAAAATATAATTTTTAAATATATTTTTTAATTTAATGCATTTTATGTTTTAAATTTTAATGGGTGCAGAAAAAGCAGTATTTTATTTTACTATTTATTTTATATGAAATTTGCAACTTTTGCACTCTTTTACAAAATTTGAAACGTCTGATTGTGATTTCACTATTTTCTAGCAATAGCTACTGAACAAACATGAAAATAAATAAAAATAAACTTATATTTTTAAATGCATAAAAAATATCACGTTTTTAATTCTATGCAATTTATGATTGAATTTTAATGGGTATGACAGTTGCAGATAAAGCTATATTTTATTTAACTATTTCTTTTATATTAATTCTTTTAAATTTGCAATTTGAAACGTCTCGTTACAATGTTAAACTGATGCGATTTTGCTATTTTCTAGCAACGACTACTAAACAAATGTGAAAGTGAAATACAAAAAAAATGATTTATTTATTTAAAGATGACTTTTGTAATATTTTTAAATAAATGCATAAGAGGCTTCCCGAATCAGCTGACCTGAAGCTCTCACTCAGGAGGAGCTGGCTAATTTAAGTTCAAATGTTTATAGTTATTGATAAACTTATGCTTTCAGATGGAGCAGCATTTACTACACAGAGCCGTAGTTCACTGACAAGCTACGCAAAAAAATCTCAGACGATTTTATTGCGCAATTCTGAAATCGTTGGCGATAATGACAGCTGTTTGCATAGCTTCTCAGTGAACTACGGCTCTGTGTAGTAAATGCTGCTCCATCTGAAAGCACGTGATGCTGATTTACTGCTGATTACAGAACCGGCTTTACTAACAAAATGCGCATGACAATCACATTCGATTAATCGTGCAGCCCTATCTGATAGTGCTATATCTGATCTGATACATTATATCTAACAATGTTGTATCTGTGATGGTACTGTATGTGATACATTGTGTTGGCTAAATGAACAAATGTAATAATTCTGTTTATGACAGTTTGTGTCTGATTTGTGACGGATCTGATCTGATGATACTGTATCTGAATCATTGTATCTAATTAGATATATGATACATAGTATCTGATCATGTTGTATGTGACACATTATATCTAATGTATCTGATCTAATGATGCTGAATCTGACACATTATGATGCTCTATCTTCTATATTGTGTTTAATGTTGTGTCTGATTTATTGTTTTAATCTAACAGTGCATTATGCGACACAATGTGTCTGATATTCTGTATGCGATACACTGTACTGAATGATGCTGTATCATATGTATTTTATCTGCCCTAATGATGCTGAATCGGACACATTGTGTCTGATGCGATGCTTCTTCTCTAGTGTGTCCGATCTATTCTATCTGATCTAATGATGCTGAATCTGAGTCTGTTGTTGCTGTATCTTCTGTTTTGAGTCTGATGCTGTATCTGATCCAGTTCTAAACTCTGATACATCGAGTCCGATCTGAGTATTCTGTACGATACACAGTATCTAGCAATGCTGAATCTGACACACTGTATATAATGAACATGATACATTGTATCTGATAATAATGCTGTATATGATACATTATATCAAATAATGTTGTATCTGATCTAAAGATGCTGAATCTGACACGCCGCGTCTGATGTTGTTTTATCTTCTATACTATGTCTGACACATTAAATCTAATAAAGTTGAATCTTCTATATTGTATCTGATCTAATGGTGCACACAATGTATCTGATCATACTGTATCTGATACATTGCATCTAAGGATGCTGACTCGGACACATTGTATCTGCTCTGATGCTGCTGCATCTGCTACACTGATGATTCCGGGTCTGACACGCATCATATCCGCGGCTGAGTCGTGTCCGATCTCTCTGTAATCAGCAGCGCGGCGTCAGTCACGCGACCCGTTACTCGAGCGAGGCCTGTAATACAGCGAGAGGCAGGAGAGGCTTGATTACCGCGATCACGTTGACGAAGGTGGTTTTTCCCGAGTACTGCAGGCCGACCAGCGTCAGCTCCATCTCCTCCTTCCAGAAGAGCGCCTTGAACCAGTCCAGCAGCTTGTTGAATAGCGCGATCATGGTGCGGGCTCGGGTTCTGCTGCTGCTCGCGGCTCGTTCTTCCTCATTGGGTGGGGTTTCACATCCAGCTGATCCTAACAATGCGGGACACGGGCATGCGCGCTAGTGTTGGGTCGTTCTTGAACGATTCGTTCATTTTGAACGAATCTTGAATGTGACTCGGGAAGAACGAGTCGTCTCGGGGAGTGATTCGTTCAGTCGCGCATGCGCAACATCCTATAGGTTCTGTACTGGAACTAATCAAGCAGTTCACCAGGGCTGCGTTCAGCGCCGACCAAACGGTGCAAAACGTGTTTTAAACGGAAACGGTGGTGC